GACTCGCTGTCTGTAAACTTGTCGGCTATGTGGTCTGCAAGCTTGTCTGTGACAGACGGAGCCCGCGGCGTGTCCACGAATTCGTCGCGCTCCATATCGAGGAAGTTCTGTGTCGCAGCTCGTGCAGTTCCGTGCTGATGACTTGGTGATTCGCTGAATTCATCTCGCTTACCCTCGCGTTCTAGATGTTCAAAATCGTCAGTGGAGTCCTGGTCGCGTTTAAGAGCCTGAGACGGCGCCGCCTCGTTCGCAGGAACGGCGTCGCCGCTAGCAAAATCTCCGAGGAGATCTGTAGTTTCCATTTTGTATTTCGAAAATGTATTGGGTCGTGGTCTAGAGTAAAAAAACTACAATCGATAAAGGGTGCGGTAGGATCTCGAATAGGGTGTGCCGGAGGGGTCTTATCGTGCCTCCTCGTCGTGACGTACTGACGTCTGCGAGCTGCGCGCCGGCTACCGCTGCACGACGTCACTCAGCACGAGAAACGGGATTACTCATCGCAATCGCAAAACAGCCCCACCAATTTAGCGAAAGCGGAACTTCGCCGGTACTATTTAAATAAAATATATAAATAGTTACGATACTAATAAAGTACTTGTAAAAATAAGTTATCGTACAAATATTCGAGTATTGTACTGAAAACTTGCTAACACGGTCACGAAAAATCGAATTTGACCGAATTCAACAAAATATTGACTGAACAGTTTTGAACTGTTTTACCGACAGAAACAATACAAAGACAAAGTTGTTGACCAAAGACACCTCTATACAAGGATAGGCTAGAAGCCTTTGTATTTTGTGCCTAGATGATTTTTTAGCGCTTTTTGATCTGACGTACAAATTGGTAGTGGTAGTAAGAATTTAAATTAAAATCTATTAAAATAGTAGATGCACAACAAAGTAAACGATTGAAGTGTCATTTTTTGTCTTTTCTATACCTATACATCTATAAAATTTAGCTCCATAGTAAGGTGATGTTAAGGTTTAAATTAACTTAGCACAATTTACATCCAATCCATTAACAGTGGTGGGTGAAAGAATACATTTCGACAAGCATCTTTTAGTTATCGGAAAAATTGAGAACTAACAATGTCTTTTTGACAGTGACACATACCTATTAAAAGAACAGCAGCTATAGTTTGCTATAATTTAGATTAGTTTGACAATTCATTTTAAATTTAGTAGGGATGTTGTGTAAAATCAGTCATGAATCTTATCGATTTTCGATTTTTATCCTTATAGAAGTTGGAATCGATAGATTTATAGTTATAACTTACGAAATAAAATAAAAAAACACTGTTTCCTCAAATCAATAATGACCATAACATATAATGAGGATAAATAAATGTTTATTACTACTACGGCCGTACGTAATCGAATTGGATTTCGCTATTTTTTCTGTCATCGCTGAATTCTTTACACTATAGTCAATACTAGAATTGTCTTCTAAATTAGTGAATAAGTATATAATAATTTTAGTTGCGTTTGATAATTATTTCAGCCGAATATCGATAGTGCAAAATTGTTTGCTATGTGTGTTTGTTTCGTCACTACGATATCTGTCTATAAAGTATGACAATTACCTTCATACAAATTGAATTTGATACTTCATATGCGTCATTTATTAAACTAATCTATCTTATTTAGACACACCATACAAGGACATTTTAAATTTCCAGAAAAATATAACATGGGATGATATAACATGTAGTTTTATATATTGATATTAGGGTCGATATTAGGGTAGGTAAAATTATAATAATAATATACGAAGATTACTCGTAATTTTAAATGAAGAAACGCTGATTGTACTTATGTTTGAAAATATGAATTAATAGTGAATGATTTTTTGGAATTGACCCAGTAGTTTTTGAGTTATTCCGATACATATAATATTTACATTTACATACAATATTCACATTGGTATGGATGGAAGAATATCGGAAAAAGTAAGGAAATGCCAACGCCTGGTAGCCCTCGTATATACGCTACCATCAATGTCAAAAACTGCCAAGTTTTCTTCGGACTATGGACGATACATGACACTGACACTGACACTTCATAGCACTATGTAGCGTAGTTGCGCTTTAAACGTTCATATATAATCGTTTGAAGAATAGCGCTTTTTATTTCATGAGTGTTCATGAAGTTAAAGTGATAACGCATATCGCGTGTTTCTTGATATCACTTATTTTAGAAGATCTAAAGTGTAAGGATGGCGGGAGTTGCAATGCGAAGATGTGCCAGTACCCGCTCCACTGATACTGAATTAACCCAAACACATTTTGATAACGACGAAACAGTATTGAATGGAAAAATCAATCATAATAAAAATGGTTACCAAAAAACAGCAGATATAAATAATGAAGTTACTGTAAGTAAATATTTTATACTGTTTGTAAAATTATACTTTTTATTAACTGACACGCATGCGGCTTCGTTTTCTCCGCGCTGTCTTTTTTATTGGTGTTTTTGACACAGTATTAATAAAACATAACATGGCCTTCGGTGATACGAAACAAATAGAGATGTATATCAAGGCCGTTGTAATACCGCGAATGAATAAGTACACTGTCCACTTTAAGGTTTGCTTAAATGGAAAGCAATAAGTTACTCGACAACATCTCACTATTACATGTTACTTTACATAAAATTCATTTTAGATAATGTGAAGTGAGGAAGAATATATATAACTTAATTATCGTTATAAATCCTCGAAAAATGTGGGGTTCCCAAAGAATATAGTTTTTGTTTTCTAACACTGAATAGATGAAGTTGTGGGCAATGGTTAGTGGAAAATAAATAAGTAATAAACCATTTATAAATGGAACAATTCCATATTGAAATGTAGTTATTATGGACCAATGGACGAAACCATTATCTCCTGTTGTTCATACAGGTTATTGAATTATGTTTCATAAGATTCGGCTAAACATCTCTTTATTCATACTCTCACTGTATTGTTACAAAAAAGAGATGGAAACTTGTCCGCTCCACATTGCACCTCACTATTTAACAATAAATAATATAAAACAAGTAGAATAAAATTTGGCAATTTTATACCATTTCAAACCGCAAAACATAAGTTTGTTTAACTATTAAGGTTTGTCCCAGTTTCATAGAGTCCAAATGCACTGCATAGATTTTGGTGTAATTTTTGTATAATGTTCGGAGGCTGGGAGTGGATTCTATGCCAGTACTGACCCTTCCCGGTGCTATGCTGCAGAGCTGCTAGCTAGTCTCTTCAAATGGATTTGTAATGATAATATTTTGTATTTTCCATTCTCTTTAAACATAACTTTACAGTGATAGTTACAAAGCTAGGATTCAATCGTGGCATGGCAGTAATAACAAAAAAAACAACAAAAAAAATCACAAAAAGATATCAATTAAAAAAAGTTCTTGATTAAAGGGCAGAGGGTTTGCGCTGGTTTTCATCCTTGCTGTAACTGCTTTTCCATAGTTCTGGTAATTTTGTACATCTTAAGATGTGGTCCAATCTTTTCAACCAACTTCAACAAGAAGGTTCTCAATATCATTGTGTCATTTAGCAATTTCCTGATTGTGCTACAACATATTGTTATGTTTTAAAGTTATATTGACTTCAATATTACTTTCATAAATAACTCGTAAATTTACGGTTCATGAAATCATATTTACTTTAGAATACTTTATAACTTTAAAAGAATGTAAAGTCGTTAATGATGCGCGTGCCTCGCACAGCCGTCACGACGCGGCGGCGTCACGCGTGCTCGGCCGCCGCACTCGCATTCGCGCTGCCGTCTCGCCGCCGTCACGCCGCCGTCACGCCACGCGCGCCCGCAGCTTTCCAATAGGACGGAGTGCTGATGTTAGCACTCCGGCCTATTGGAAACCCCCGCACCACCCACACAGACAGAAGCAATTCTATTCACACTATTGCTGTGTACCTTTTTTTTGTAAGCCTCGGCTCTGACCTTCGTCTGTATATTTCGATAGTTTAGACTAAAGACTACTGTCTCTAAGAAAAGAAACTACTAAAAAAAACTAACTAAATACGCTCGTCTCGATTTTTCAGTTAAAATTGTTAAAATTGAGTGTATGTAACAGGCTTAACTTCGATAGCTGGTCGGTTAGAGGTCAGTTGCCGCCAAAAAGCAAACATGTACAAAAACTGCTGAAATAATAAATAATGGTCAATTTTAATTTGCATTAAAATAAATGTAATTTTGTTAAAAAATTGAAAGAAAAAACACATGAATAATTTTAAAACTTATGGCGCAGATATAGCTCACGTCCTCGCATTTTACAATTTATAATGTTGCGTATGTATAGATCACACCTGCATAATATATGTATTTTATAAGCGGCGAGCGGCAGGTCGCCTCAGCACCAGTCAGCTTACAGCGGAACGTGTATTCCTGTCTGACTGAAGTAGCGGCGTGGCTTGGTGTGGCACTATACACTGCTAAAAGCAATAAAAATAAAACTTCTTAGGGGACCTAAGAAAACCTTTTCAATCTTTCATTAAATTTAAACCTACACCATGTAATCTGTTGTCAATTGCGTGCATCGCGCGGTGCACTTTGTCCTTTGTCATCTAATGCAAGTGAGCGTTGTCTATAGCCGCCTGCGACCACCAGAAATACCTTCTTCTACGTCCTTAAAACATCCAAGTTATCGTTACAGTTTTCCCCACTGGACTTTGGTAACGCGTAGAGGAAAAACTTACAAACATAGATTTTTATATATATTTATATATATATAATATGTTTTTTCAAGCTATGGTTACCTGTTTACATCGTTGCATGACTGTTAGTTATTAATTAGCCAGCAAATAAACTTAGCTGTTTATATAATTTTATGTTATTTTCCTTAAGTCTCAACTCGTTTGGGTATCATCGGGCGCGCCGCACATTGGGCTGAATCAAGTTGCTCCATAGACAACTTTATCTG